CCTTTCTTTCTAGTTGATATAATTGACCAAAAAAAAAAAAAAATTGAATAAGAAATCCCATATGGAACACATCTCTGGAATACTTTGCACGGACCTCGATCAGCCTCTTTGGCCACTGCTGCGAATATGGCGGAGAAGAAGGAGAACTCGCAAAAGAAGAACGTCTTCCGGATCAAGGAAGAAAAAGAGCTTGATGGTGAACGATGTATTTTGTTTCCTCTCTTGTGTTTTATAAACACATAATACAATTTCGGATAAAGGTTCGTTTTCTATTTTTTAAATTTCCAACTTTTAAACAATAAACAGGTGATGGTCCCGTTCAGTGAGACAGCAGCAGTGCCTCCTCGCGGACAGAAAAGGTATGGCCTCTCAACACGTGAACATGTGAGACCGATGTGTGTGGACATCTTGAAATGGCGTGTCTGCTGATCAATATAGTAACAGTATAGTTGAGTATCTCTGAAACACGTGAAAATCACAAATATATGTTTGGATCTGAAAAACGCGTGAAAATTGTGGACATGTCTGTGTGAATATCCATCCATCCATCCATTTTCGGATCCGCTTTATCCTCACAAGGGTCGCGGGGGGTGCTGGAGCCTATCCCAGCTGTCTTCAGGCACCCTGAACCGGTTGCCAGCCAATCACAGGGCACATAAAGACGAACAACCATCCACGGTCACAATCACACCAAGGGACAATTTAAAGTGTTCAATCAGCCTGCCATGCATGTTTTTGGAATGTGGGAGGAAACCGGAGTACCCGGAGTCAACTAATGAAGGTTTTAATCTCAGTTCAGATATTGTCAGCTACAACTGCTTGTTTGGGTCATGTTAGTTTAAAAGTCAGTTCAGGCAGATAGTATATAGAGTACAGGTATGTATCACTAGACTTCACAATAGAAATAATGAGAGATTAAAGCATGAGATTTTGAAGATGATATTTAAAGTAGTTGCGTAAAATAATCTGATGACTGGTACACGGAGGACCATTCGTAGTTTATTGGACTTTGTTGCAGCTGGCACAGGCTCGATTCCCCATTATTGGTTCAGGAAAAGGACAGGATCTGCCAGTGTCATCCAAATATAAGTGTATGTAGGTCACTGAGACTCCTGAGGAGGAAGATGGAAATGTCTCACCCCTCCCTTCTCCCATTTGGTTTGTCTGCAGGATGATTCTCTGACTATGGCAACAGTTAAGAGGAGAGTTTTTTGACGGTTGACTTACAGCTAAAGAAGGCTACACACATATCGGGTTATAATTGGGCCAAATTTGAGCAATTCCCCTTTCCGATCGAAGCCAGCAAAGGCCCTATTATCAGATGTCTATCAAAGATTATCGTGACCACCTATGCTGTGGTATTAACGATCACAAATCCTTATGCATGTGGGTGATACCAACGGCCACAAAACAACAGCTAATTAAGGAGAGCCTTGAAGGTCGCGCTGTTGCCATACACCAAAAGAGGAAAAATGTGCGTGTTGAATGTCTGTCCATCCATCCATTTTCCGATCCGCTCTATCCTCACAAGGGTCGCAGGGGGTGCTGGAGATTATCCCAGCCGTCTTCGGGCAGTAGACGGGAGACACCCTGAACCAGTTGACAGCCAATCGCAGGGCATACAGAGACGAACAACCATCCGCGCTCACAATCACACCTAGGGACAATTTAGATTGTTCAATGAGCCTGCCATGCATGGTTTTGGAATGTGGGAGGAAACCGGAGTATCCGGAAAAAACCCACGCAGGCTCGGGGAGAACCCTGTACCTCTGCACTGCGAGGTCGACGCACTGACCACTGACCCACCGGGCTGCCCTTGAATGTCTGTGTATCATGGACTTCATATGTGACATTTCAGTCATTCAGCACAATAAAAATGACAAGAGAGGAGCTTTCAACTGCAATGTTATTCGACATTAACAGCTAGCCTCGTTTTTTTGGAGAGTGGTGCCTTTGATTCCTGACAGCGTAGCGTGGAGACACCAGCTGCTCAGTTCCTGCTTTTACTACTTGCATTCTTACAGTTGATAATTGCTTTTTTTCTTTCTCTGCACTTTCTCTACTCCTGGATAGTTTTTATGCCAGTAGGGCTGTATTACTTTTTTAATATGTTGTCAAACTTCGGTCATTCGGGGAAGGAACTCCGAGTCGAGTCAAATGAGTCTGGTTAGGACGTCTCCCTCCTGGATATCCCCCACCTTGGTGAGGTGTTCCACTCACATCTCACCGGGACGAGGCCCCGAAGACGACACAGGACATGCTGAAGAGACTATCATGTCTTGCGGCTGGCCTGGGAACGCCTTGGAATTCCCCTGGAAAAGCTGGGCAAAGTGTCTGGGGAGGGGGAGTCTCCCTGCAAAAGGAGCTGCCCACGTGACCCGATGGATTGAGGATGGATGGATAGAAATTGCCAAAAAAATGAGTGACAGATAGAACAACGGATTGACAAACAATCCAAAAGATAAGCAAACAGGAAGTGGATGTTATGTGAGTCTATTGATCATATGGGAGATATTGCCTTTGTTTATTATGAGCCCATTGACTGGAGCCAACATTGCTGGTAATTTGGTTAATTAAAGCAATAACAACAACAACAACTATAATCATATGTATATATGATCTTGCTCGCAGGTGACAAAAACATGTGTTAATTAATATGAGAATGGAGGAGAGCCATGTTCTCTCATCGTTCTTCATTTCGATGAGGGTGATTGGAGACAAAGACTCAAATGTACATCTGTATTGTCTTACAAACATGACCAAATTATTGTTTATTATTGCGTCCTTGTGAAGTCCCGCTGTCCCCATCTTCAAATGCAAACCATTTGAAGACTGTCTCTTTTCCTGAAATAGAAAAATGGAGGAATAGTCCGAGCAAGTGACTGAGGCAAAAGGGTGATAGACTGGCTTACATCTGACACTTCTTGTCTGGGTAGCCTGTCAGCTTCAACGCCATTCAAGCAGAAGGCTCAAAATAACACTCGTGGTTGTGGCGTGTCGCCGCTTATGGCTCATGCCTGAATATGTGTGAAGAAGGGTTTGGATTTTGACCTTTGTGGTGCCATTGACAAGGCACCTTCCGGGTGAGTCCGCTGATACTCTCACCAACTGTCATTGACTGAGGAGGCGACTCTCCCTCTTCTTGTGAAATATCAATATCAACAATATGCCTTGCGTAAAAGACCGGTTTTCCCTCTTTCATCACGCGAGACAACTAAATCATTGATAGCACCTCATTACCTTTTCATGCTCTTAATACTCAAATTAAACACACATTTTCACACGCACACACGTTTGCTCCGAAGGGCACCATTAATTAAGCTTCTCACAGTTGCAGCGATAGTGTAGTGATGAATGCGTGGTATTTCCTCAGGAAGCCCACACTACTTTGAATGCCAGGGCAAGCCTTTACTCCACCAATCAGCGAAGAATCAGGTTTTCCTTTATCTGGATGCAGGAATCTATTAGTTCCTGTCTGGTGGTGCCACTAGGACCGAGAAACACCAGAGAGAATGACATCTGGGGGGGAAATAAACTAAATGATATTTTGTCTTTGCTGATCTTGTGACCTGACTCCACCAAGGACAGTCACTCTGTCGTTCAGACAAGAAAAAAAATGGCAAAGGTCATATAAATAAATATGGTACATATCAAAATTGCTTTTTAGAAGAACATATTGCTCCTTTTATAACACACACAAAACACGAAAATGGTGGAGAGCAGTGGTTCTTAACCTTGTTGGAGGTACTGAACCTAACCAGTTCAAATGCACATTCACCGAACCCTTCATTAGTGAAAAATAAAAATATGATTGGCCAAGGAATGTAATGTGATCATCTGCAGCCAGTGATGGCCAAAGGAGCGTGTCATAACGAATTGACATCTTGAGTCGGGTGTGTCTTAACCTCCATGGCAGAGGCTCCGTCGAACCCCTGAGACCGATTCACCGAACCCCTGGGGTTCCATCGAACCACTGGTGTAGACTGAAGAGCTTAATGTAATCAGAGGCAATGCTGTAATGTCAAGATGCCAAATACAAAGAGTCATACTAGATGCGGCCAATTTCTTCATGGATGTAGAATGAGTTCAACAAGATGGCCACATGCATGAGAAATATCACAACTTATTACTCTTAGGTGACTGCACTTACCTTCCTTGATAGTCAGTCAGTGTTCAATAGATTATTTCCTGGCATTCTTTTTTTATGGCCTTAGGTCACCTCCTTCCTTAGAATCACATAATAATACTTGCCCCATGTTCATAATTACTATTATCCAGGAGCCGAGTAATCACAGCCATGAGTACATGTAAAAAAACGGAAACATACCGAAAGACATTTCCAGAGCTTCAACAAAGCTGTTCATTACGGGAAGCGGTCCGTCATCAGATTTGTAATGGACTGACAACCGCTTACACGCTTCATGTAGAACAAATTGTTATTCAGAGTTATTACATGAAGAATACAAAACAAATAAACCATCACTTTCATTCCTCAGAAGAGCAACATTAAAGATTTCATCCGTCCATTTTATATACCGAAGGGTCCCGGGAGAGCAAGAGTGTTATCGTGATCCATTATTCACACTGACATTCACACTTTTGGACAATTTACTCGTTAATCAACTGAACTTGCATGTTTTTGAAATGTGGGAGGAAGCTAGACTCGCCGTAGAAACCCGAAGGAGCCAGAAACCACCACCTAAACTCTGTCGTATTGTCACCGAAGTGATGATTCCTGAAATCTGTGGGAGTCTCCAGTTACACTAATGTGATCATACAATTGCATGATACTGCGGCTTTCGTCCAAGTTGATTGCGCAAGAATTCTTGATAATGACAGAAATGGAAACAGAAAATAGACATTTACTTTGAGAAACCATGCCACCAAATCTGGGCCATTGCCATTATTTAGAGCACTTCAACAAATGAATGGCATGGATTGCAGAAAACAAACAATACACAGTTTTCTTATTGTAAAAAAATAACAAAAGCACAGTTTTTTTTTCATTTTCAACTCGTTCTAATGGATACTGGAGCATGACGGGGTAGGGCACTTGAAGAAAATGCCCAATTTCCATTACTTGTGTGGATGTCCTCCAATGGAATGCTACTGGAACATCGACTAAACAACAACCACATCCCGTTCGCTCCCAGCACATATACCTGTTGGCTCATTAAGGAAGAAACATAGCACAGTTGCCTGCACAGCTTCCAGCCTGTTATAAAGAATTATTGATTTCAAAATGGCACAGTCTGTCAGTGTTACGCTGTGGCTATCGACACGCTATCTAGCGCGAGATCTATCTGCCTACACTACCTTTAATGGGCTGCTCACATTTACACAGAAACACCTTCTGGAAATTGATTAGTTCGCTACATTCAGCTGTTTTCCAGCCAATCATTTTCAGCATGAACCCAAGATATCTTTTAATATAATATCTTCTCCACAAGCTATAATCCAAAAAAAAAAAAAAAAAACATGGCAAAATCACCACACATCCTCAGAGTGGAGTACATAACATTTTTGTAGTTCACATGTACAGTATATTCATATTTAAATCCTTCATTCTTTCACATCTACTGTAAAGTTCTGTTCCTCTAGTTCAAATCAAACAAAATAATGTTTCCCCATTCTCTTGGTTCATGTTTATGCAAAAATCCAAGTGAACCCAATTGGATCACAAACACACCAGTGGCATGCATTGAAGGGCTTCAAGGCCTTCTCTGCTGACCCAGAGATCAGCAGAGAAGACGTCCATTTAGAACATATATGAAATTGAAATCATTTATGTCTATTATCTTGCGGCATGTGGATGACCGATTAGGACATCTACCTGTGCAGAGGTTGTGGGTTCAAATCTGGGCTCTGCCCATCCTGTGTGGAGTTTACATGTTCTCTCCATTCCTGTGTGGGTTTTCTCTGGGTACTCCACTTTCCTTGAAAACTATTTCAAACTACATTGACAAAACTAACTAACTACTTATAGCAAAAATGTCCTTTGTTTTCACCTTTGGCAATTGAATACTGCATGTGATCATTTGGGGTTGATTTTGAATGTAATTTTAAGTGCATTTATTTTGGTATTTTTTGTGACTGGTTGTTCCTCGATGTTTGAGTTGCGATCGAGTTGCTGCGGCCCTTTGTCCCTTGGTCCTACTGTTATGTCATCTTTATTCTGTCATATAGGCCTGATGTCTCACATTATATAAGCACGAGTCACGTTGTCAGTACGTCAAGCTTTCTTGCAGTGGGAATGTCAGCTCATGACTTCTGCATTCATCCCCGTTCTCTGTAGTTACTTTGAATTTTGACAGAGAAAGACTTGGACTTTTTAACGTCCATGTCATCATGTCTGCTTCTGGGTCCAAATTCTGCTTCTCCCGTGACAGTATAAGCCGGAAGAAGACGTTCAAAGAGTCGTCTGGCAGTGGGAGTCCTGTTAATGTGTGACACACAGAAGCAACGTCATCTCTCAGCAGCAAATAAAAAAAACGCCATCAGATGACGGTGACGAGTTTGCGTGTTTGACAGGCTCCACTGCTGGGTAAGAATTGCTTTTGTTTTTTGGTTTAGATATGAAAAAAAATGCAATATATAAAAAAATAGTACACTGTACAACTGGGTTTAACACGTCTGATTCTTGAAGGGTATTTTACCCTTCAAGAATCAAATGGTTACCTCGAGGGGAGGCGAGTGAAGTAAATACCATCCTTTCTATTGTATCATTTCCTCTCTTTTTCGGGTGGGGGGGGTGTATTTTTTGTGTGCATGTTCATACAGTGTATGGTTGATGCCAAGATTGGTAAGGAAGAACGAGGCTTTTTTTTTCGAACGTGACAGTGGAAAATAACTGCATGGTGATGACATATTATTCAGCCTCTGGGATACAGCTCGGTGTAATGCATAACTGTGTGTTGGGATGTTCCATCCAAGGTTTTATCTTTTGAATCACATGATGTAACCAGGCAATTCATCAGCCACCTTTCTCCTCTCACAATTTCTCCTCATGCCGAGAGGAAACGACTGGGAGGGAGAGATAGCATCTTGATTGTTTTTAATCAAAACAATAGGCTCTCTCCAGAATCCCGCAGCAGCCCAACCGTATAATTGAGTAGAATTGGATTGCCAGGTAGAGAGACCTCTTGCATGCTCGGGGGGCATGGAAGGACAATTTTCATGCACAAATGATGGTGCCTACTTCTTGACTGCTCTTGGAACATGTTTCTATTTTTTCGGCTCCAACAAACTTGATGTGCAGAGAATAGTAGTGCTCATCTCTACATGAATACGTATTTCAGTTGTGTGGGTTTTTTTTTTTTTGCTTTTAAAAGTTCACGACCAATGCAATCATCAAAGAAAGAAGATGCAGCAGTCACAAAAACAGGTACTGTATAATACCAATGAACAAGCAGGAAAAAGTAGAACTATTTTCAACATTTTAACAGCCCGCTATACTATTTCTAGAAGTATAAAATAGAATGGACTATAATAGTGTACAACTGGCTCAAAAACTGCCCTTCATAGACAGCTGTCCCATTTCTATAGGTTGAATTAAAAACATTAACTCACAACAATGTACACTGAGCATCAAGAAGACTACATGCGCATCCTAATGACGTCTGATACAAGAAGTGTATCAGATATTGTACCTTAACAAAATTAAATTTCACAATGTCAAAAGAAAGAATCTGATTCTAAAATGTTTATTATTGTGGTACCTTTCGAAAGGTGAATAACTGCACTGCAGCATTTTACATGAGAGGGTGAAAAAAATCTATGGATATTCTTTTCACTCTCTCATGTAAAATTGATTTTCAATACGTTTTTACAGTGTCAATCAAAAAGGATCATTATCGCCTTTGTCAAGGTTGAATATTTGATGCAGCTCTTGTACCGCCACCGTGGCTTGATATCATGCAAGTTGTCATAGTGGTGGGAGCCGGTCAGAGCATAGGCTCACACAAGCTCTGTTGATGACTATAACATTTCATGCATGAATAAACACAAATGATGTCACTGAAACAAGTAATTTCTTAAAAATAGATATTGGCAAGAAATGAGACTGGATTATACACACGGACTATATTACAGGGAAAATATTTTTTTTTCCCACAGATCAAAGACATGTATGCAGACATTATATGGTATCTTTCATTACAATTTAAAAAAAAAGAAGAAAAAAGAAATGTTGATGTGTAGGAGGGTCTCCAATTAATGTCGGCATTATCTACCTGTCACAGGGAATTGTCACGCTCTTCTCTAATCTGGAAGACAAGACCTCACCAACTAGTTATGTGAGAAGGGGAGTCCAACTCTGGTCCTCAAGGGCCCCTATTCCAGCATGCTTTAAAATTCTCCCACTTCCAACACACCAGATTCAAAAACCAGCTCATCAGCAAGCTCTGAGAAGCCAAATAATGATCCTGATCATTTGAATCAGGTTTGTTGGAGGAGGGCGATATCTAAAACCCGTTGGATAGGGGTCCTCGAGGACCAGGCTTGCACACCCCTGTACTAGTGTTTTCTTATTTGGCAATGTAGTCCAACAGGAAAGGCCTTGAGTTTGTAATATTATTTGTTTTATGTCTATTTTGTTTCTGTTTTGTTGCCATTTAATTTTGAAGGTGACCCAAAGACAACCACGGGAGAATTTGAATGTCACATCAATTGCCTTATTTTGATTGGTGATTATCCAGAGGCAGTTGCGACATTTATCTGCCGCGGTGCCTTGAAGATATTCATTTTAGAGACAATTCATTCCATCAAAACAGAAATTCTTTATCATAAAGGGCCTCTTTTCCACAGTCCGTCGGAGCAATTGCATACTTGTGCCTTCGCAATATGCAAGATAAGTAGACATCATTACGATGTGTCAGAACCAGGCTTGGACACAGGACACAGTTGCAGGGTCCAAAGTTCAAAAGATATTTATTTGAGGATCGGCGACTCACAACTCAAAATGTCAAGGCTGTGGAAACAAGGTGAGGACTGGTCAGATCTCTGGCGAGAGGCTGGAGTGCACGCACAAGGATGAAACACACTTGCACAGGACAAAGTGAGACAAGGATCATTTAAACACAAGGGAATGGGCAACGGGTGCAAACAATCAGGGCGGGGCTGACAAATCATAGGAGGAAAGGTAAGTGACCTGAAACGAGAGGAGATTCTTTCCTTCAACAGAAACAGGAATTGACCAGACAAATGCAAACTATCCTCACCGCGTTGTGATGGTCACAGTTCCGAAAGGAAACAGCTTCCCCGCACCCCAGAATGACGTTTTTTTTTTACATTTTTTTTACTCTTTCCAGATAAGAATTCTGTTTCATCATCTCCTATTTTGCTAGCACATCTTGTAACAGGGATACCTTAAAACATTTGTGGGAGCCAGTAAGAGAGACATGAACAAAATAAATGAGACAGAGAAAAGGAGAGACTTTACATGCATCAGACCAGAAAAAAAATATGCATATATATTAAAATCAAATTCCTCTTAGATCTTTTTGATGAACTGTGGTTGATTTACAAAGTACAATGATTCCACTCCAAAAAGGCATTGCAGAATTGAATTTGGTCCACCTAAAATGATGCAAGGGGATGCAAAAGGAGGTGGAAGAAGACCGGGTACAATGCAATACTTTAAATGCTTTGCTGTTTTCCCATGATTTTTGACTCAAAACATCTTTATCTCTTTTTCCTTTTATCCTTTTAGTTATTTTAGAAACCTACTTTTATTTATTTTATATTTTTTTCACTTAATGTGTTTAAATGTTGTCAATGTATATACTTAAAGTGATTTTTTTTTTTTTAGCTACTTTTGTTTTCTCTGCATTACTACTCAATGTCATTAGCTGTTGTGTTTGCAAATGTTTGTGATGTTTTTTTTTTTATTTTCCTTGTGCAAAGCACATAGCCTTGCCTTGCTCCTGTGCTTGTCAACTGAGCCTGTTTCAAGTTGGGCTGTGGCCTCCCTGTGCAGAGTTCGCATGTTCTTCCCATGCCGGTTTTCGCCTGCTGTTTCCCAAATTACAAAAAGCACTTTGTGACTCTTCTCTGTCAAAAGTGCTCAATCATGGAATTGAACTTTCATTCTGTTGGGTAGAACCCAGCTTTCATAGAGTGACAACTGGATGTCACATGTTGTCTCCTCTCCCGCCTCGCTCGGTGGCAGGTGTTCCCGACAGCTGGCTGCTTGCTTCTATTAGCGGAAGCAGAGCCAGTGTGGGGGGAAAAAAGTGAGGACCTTTAGTTAAAAGGGCACATCTTATGGAAAATTGACTTAATGTAGCATAGAGATATGGATAGATAATAGTTTTCACAAGCCAGTTAGCTTTATGCAAACCTAATGTTGTTAACCCATCATTGTGGATATTCATGCCAAAAAGAGGATTTATTCCATTTAAAAATCCCATTATACTGTCACCACATTCACGCCTTAATGAGAGACTTTGGCTCGCCACCCACAGAGCGCTTTCATAATGTCTCAGAGTGAACTCTTGGCCACACACATCTCATCTTAAACTCAACTTCTCCACATATTTGAAAGGAACAACAATGCCCTCTGAGTGCTGCTCACGATTTCAAAAATCACCGTGTTGAATGTGGAGTGACGATCATCGTCTCCACCGGCTAAAATACGACTTCTGCCCATATTACTACATTCTACAATGATAATAATTCAAATGCATGTACGATGGATCTGTGTATTGTGAAACATGTCTTCTGCAGTGGTTCTTAACCTGTGTTCGATCGAACCCGAGGGGTTCGGTGAATCGGTCTCAGGGGTTCGACGGAGCCTCTGCCATGGAGGTTAAGACACACCCGACTCAAGATGTCAATTAGTTATGACACGCCCGCTTGGCCATCGCTGGCTGCAGATGACCATGTTAGATTGCTTGTCCCAATCAGTGCTACAGGAAATCAGTAGTCACCGTGTGACTGTCGTGATAGTACATACAATTTAAAAAAACTATACTTATGCCATGTAATTTTATTTACTTTTTTCTTTTTTTAATCTTTTTTTTTATGTCTTGAATTTGTAAAAAAAAAAAAAAATCATATTTATTTTTCACTAATGAAGGGTTTGATGCACGTGCATATGAACTGGTTGGGTTCGGTACCTCCAACAAGGTTAAGAACCACTGGTCGAGTGTTACTGTCTGTTTGTTGCGCAAATCCTGTTACTTGTCCAATAGTCACTTTTATTTCACCTCATATGTATGCGGTCTCGTCATGAAAGTCATGAAAACGCATCACTTTAGTGTCGACTGAAGACAGAATGTCTCGGAAGACCCAAGCAGAACGATAATGGGCGGGACAGCAGATAAAAGAGGGCTCTTTCGTCAGATGCATCGCAAACCGTCTTGCGTTGTTGATATTTTCTTTGTCAATTCGAGCTTGTTTCACCGTAAGTCCTTCTGCATGGCTCATCCCGAGCTGCTTCTTGTTGCCAACACTTTCATTTTTTCAACAAAATTCATTCCCCCCAGGTGCGTCTTAGCCAATTTCTCCTCGAAACTTGTTTCCCCCCATGGCTTTGCTCATGAAGATGAGATGGTAATTATCTGGGAGATGTGTGAGAGGTTCAACGAAGCCTTCAAGAGAGAGAGGGTACTTACCAGACGGCCAAAGATAATGAACAGATCCGAGGTAAGAACCCTTGGCAGCGAGTCTTCTGAACTCACTCCCGCCACCGTGGAGAGGACACCTTTGACTTTGAACAGCCACTTCACTGCTCCCAATTCATTTCAAATGTGATTTTCCATTAAACGCAACATAGCTCAGAACACTTTAAACCTAAATTAGACATCTGTTGTTCAGGACAAAAACAAATGTCTCATGAGCAATTTTTAATACCGTTTTTAATACAAATGACTTCTGAAGTAGGTCAGTAATAAGTAGCCACTTGTAAGGCACATAGTCATTTTAGACAGACCCACTCAGAACTTCCATTACACTTTCCCAACATTTGTCTCCATTGCCACTGTGGCCCAGTGAGTAGAAAAGCTATGTCCATGCACTACTGTATATGAAGACGAAAGAAATATAGAAATGCAGAGGCAGACTTTCTAGTACTTTATCAATATTTTCTAGCATTGTCTTCTAACCATGAAGCACAGACAAAGTGTGATTAAACTACAATTTTCGATGTAAATATTGGCCAGTGAGCATGCGCCTCAATTTAAGCCTGATGTAGGTCAATTAAACCAGCTTAAGTGGTTGTTTCATGATGCAAATCCGTGGCTCTGAATCCCTACATTCCCCACATGACATGCTGCAATTTTCTGTTCTACCATTAGCTGTGTCACCATTGTGCTACTGCTCAAATTCAATTGAAAATTGGATTACAGGAGTGGAATGGGAATTTGACATCCCAACAAGATAAAAAGAGAGCGCGAGACGCGTGGGAGGGGGCCGGGGTGGGGGAAGAAGGCTCCCTTGACAGATCTGTGAACGGTGTCTCTCCATGTTTTGTTTTTTCTTTCTCGAATAAATCTCATCATTTTTTTATAATACTTGTCTTGATTTCCCTGGACAAGACAGGAGTCTCTTCAAATAACTCAAAATGGACACAAATGTTTGTACAATGTAGAATTGTACACTTACTTTTCTTTACAGCAGTTTTTTTCACAGCGACAAAAAAAAAATATGAGTTAAAAAAAATTCATTACACTTCAGAGGGCGAACCCGTGAAATTCTGGTGAGGATCGGGTATGGTCAAGGGATAATGCTCATCCCCACAAACAAATCTACACACAAAATGTGTCAAGAAATGCATTTTAACCTCCTAAGGCCTGAATTCTTGCAAGGGATGCATTTTTTTCCACACGTGGACGCCAAATCGTAGGAGGTTAAGGTAATATTACAGTAGAATCATATGACAAGATGGCCCAGGACATGTGGGAGGAAAACAAGTCAATACGTACTCATGACATTAACCATTAAATAAATCATTCTAAAGTACACATTTCCCCATTTGTGTATCATACGATGGCTCTCATTTGAGAGAATTATTCATCGTTATGAAAAGTAGTACACAGTGCAGCTTTCTGTCTGTACAAGGAAGTGTCTGCAGTTGAGTATTCTGTGGTGATAAATCCTCCGGAGAGGAAAGGATCAAAAGATGATCACTGGCAGCAGCATGAATGAGGAGGCCGTTGTGACTCTGCCCAGTGAGTGCCCACAAACAGACGCATCAATGCTGTGACTGCCCACCAAGCCCACATTAACTCTCTACTCTCCACCACCTCCCACTTAAACTTCTCAACAACAGGATGACCATGGTCAGGACAAACAAGACGACACATGACCGAAATTCAGCCAGAGGTGGCTTGAGGTCTACGAATATGGAAAACTGGCGTGCAGGATGTTACTATGAACGTTGTCTATTTTGCCAGAACTAACTAATTGTCACACTTTCCTCTCATTATGATACAGCAGGTGTCCACGAACTCTCCTTTAGATTAGGCATTTGGCAAATGACTAGGCATTCTGTCCTATAACTGTGCACTATTTGAACACGGTTAAAATAAGCTATGGCTCCACAAGTTCAAAATTTGGAATTTGACGATCACCACATTACTACATCGTACAATGTTGCCCATAGAGTGCAGCCCTTTGCCAAGGCTTTCTCGTACTCAAAAGTGTCAAATTTGAATTTGTTCGTTGGAATGTCACCGGCTGGTAACAATCATGTTCCCCTGTTTTCAGGACTTGATCATGTGACGTTGGTTTCCAAGCTGAGCCATGAGGCCTTGTGATGTCATTTTCAGGCAACAGCAAGTGGCAAAACCCCTTGAGATGGATAAAAACGGGTGGATTTTTCTGCTTGATTCATATTCCATCCTTCCATGATGTCATGGTTGATCTGTTTGGGGTAGGCTCCTCCTACAGCGGCACACCTGTTGGTCATCATGTCATTAATAGGTTCTCTGTTAAAAGGACGCCCGGCCCGACTACTCTGTATCTGGTCATTGTTTCTGTTCATGTCACTGTTTCTGTTAGTGTTTCTGCCATGGGTTTTTGTTTGTAGTGCTTTCATCTTGTCTTTGCGTCAGCCATGGGTTTTTGTTTGTACTTTGGATTCTTGTTGTTTTCAGGGCTTTGTTTTTGTCTGGATTTCTGGAAGTGTTTTATTCATACACTTTGTCAAGTTCACCCTGCTCTCCCTCCTGCCTGCTTTTTGCGGTCCCCCACCACCGTTCATGACACATTATCCGAGTGGCTTATGCTCACGAGGGTCGCGGCCGTTCTAGAGCCTATCCCAGCCTTTTTCGGGGCGGGGTATACCCCTGAACAGGTTACCAGACAATCGCAGGGTAAAACTGCTGTGCGTGTGGCATGCCATTTTCAGCACCACTTATCCTTAAAAGGGTCGCGGGGGGGGCTGGAGCCTGTCCCAGCTGACTTTGGGTGAAAGGCGGACGGCACCCTGAACTGGTCGCCAGCCAGTGGCAGGCTACACAGAGATGAACAACCAACCATACCATCACTGAATGGGAATTGATCTGTACACATAAGTCAGACAAGAATACTGTACCGCTACACCTTCAGCGACTCATATTCCACAAATGGAATATTAATCAAGATACAGTGGTGAGACAAGTGGGGTCGCACAGAACATTATTGGAAGGAAAATATTTGACTCTACCTCCTTTTTGATTTTAAATAATCGCATACTGTAGAATGACATTACTCTGACCAGGGAGAATCTTCTGTAGATTATTACTTGGATCAGGTTTTTTCCCAAAGAAGCACCACTTATGGCATTTTTATCATTTCATGTATATTCAGTTTGAAGCCAATGGCACAGTCTCAGTAGAGTGCGATTGCTACAGTCTTCTCTCTTTTCCTTCCACCAATCGGTCTAAGTCCTATGTAGTTCTCTCATCACGCGACCCTCTTTGAATCCCTGAGTTATGTTCCTGGGCTCAAGACATTCAAGTAAATCTCTAGTGATTGCTGTATTGTGTTGTCTCTTGGTGGTCAGGGAGTTGCTAGGGGCTGGAGATCAGCTTTTTCAAAAGCTGTTTGTTCTGCAAGCCACCCAATGGCACCGTCAGAAATGTTGACATCATTTATTTCCACAGCCATTTAGCACAGGCTCCTCTTAACAATGACTCACACAGGAGCAGAGGCTCGACGCCCCTCATGAGGCTTAGCACAAATCAACACACGACTGCATTAAAAAAACACATTCAGAGAAAAACATGCATCCATTTTGTAATCCGCTTATCCTCACAAGGGTCGCAGGCATGCTGGAGCCTATCCCAGCGGTCTTTGGGCAGTAAGCGGGGTAGACCCTGAACTGGTTGCCAGCCAATCGCAAGGCACACATGGACAAACAAAGGACAATATGTAGTGTCCAATTAACCTGCCATGCATGTTTTTGGAATGTGGGAGGAAACCGGAGTACCCTGAGAAAAGCCACGCAGGCACGGGGGAGAACATATAAACTCCACACAGGAAGGCCGGAGCCAAATTCGAACCTGCACATCCGCACTGTGAGGCAGACTGTTAGGGTGGTTCTGTTTGTGACTAACAGGTGGCACTGTCGGGCTCCTCCTGCAGTGGCACACCTGTTGGTCATTGTGTCATTAGTTAGTGTTTGCTTAAAAGGACTCTGCCCGACCAGTCAGTGTCAGATCATTGTGTGTGTGTCTCTCTGTGCACGTGTCATGTTTTGTTTTTGTCATAGGTTTTGGTTGTTTGTTTGTTACTTTGTTTTCTTGTGGTTTCCGGGACTTTGTTTGAGTTTTTGAGTTAGAGTGATGGCAATTTGACATATAACAGAAATGTTCGTACTATTGAATGCTGTTCGTACCTTTGAATGCTGACCAGTTATTTTGCGGCGAAGCAAAGTTGCCTGCTCATGCACTAGTCTGCACTCTGTGTAGCTGCTCAAAATGTTGACCTTCACCACCTCCCAACAAGATAAAACGAGAGCGCAAGACGCGGAGAGGGAGAAGGCTCCCTTGACAGATCTGTGAACGGTGTCCCGCCATGTTTTTTTCAAATAAATCTCATCATTTTTTTATAATACTTGTTGTCTTGGTTTCCCTGGACAAGCCATTAGTTTCTCCAGTGTACTGCTGTTTGCATTTTTGTTAAATACATCTTGGTCACTCCACCCTGCTCCTCCCTGCTTTTTGGGGTCCTCTACTCCACCATCACACAAAACGTGACATGAACATGTTAACCAGTCCTCCACCGTGCCGCCCCAGAGATAAACAATCTACCAGATAGACTTGCATTCACATCAATCCACATATTGCCGCACCATTTTAACAGATTTAAACACTGTAAATGCCTTCATTGATATTTCTCAATATGAAGACACCGAATAGCCTTCATGTGTTAGCTTTCTGTTACTATCCCTTATGCTAATGGCTCGATTTTGACCAATGTCTTAAAGCAGTTATAAAATACCCGTAAACAATTACCGGGTATTTATCATCCAAATTGTTGGTAAGGGGGGATTCTTGCAAAATCATGAAGATTGTGTACTTCTGGAAAAGTTTTACATTTTTGCTAGGGTGTTTTTAAAATCCATGGATACAAGTTTAACACACTAAATTATCCCTAGGTGTAAGTGTGAGGGCTTACGTTTTTTTTGTGTTTTATGTGTGCCCTGCGGATGGCTGGCAACCAGTTCAGGGTGTTCAATGCCTACTCCCCAAAGACAGCTGGGATAGACTCCAGCACATCTGTGACCCTTGTGAGGATAGGCGGATTAGAAAATGGATTGATGGAAGAAAGATCTCAGTCTGTCAATCAACCCGTAAAAATCTAAGCGGCCCTTACCTCTATTTTGCTTTTCTATGCTATAGAGAAGCAACTGTCGCATTTAACTTACATCTACTGTACTGCATCCCAATTCCCTTATTTGCTGGTCGTATGCTTGATGGATGGATGGATGAATACAAATTGGGGTGTTCCCCCTAGTGGCCTGTATGCACCATATCTAAGATGGCACCTGCCGAAAACACAAAATGTTGTTTCTCAGCTTCCTTTAGTTTTAAACTGTTGTATAATGACACATAAAGTTAACATTTATGGTGTTACAGGCCTATTTCGACCTATGATTTGTAAGGTCAGACAACAACCAATCAAGCCAATCAAAACAATAGAAATCAAGTCCTGTACAAGTGTTTGGGTCCTCAATGTTGTCAGTTGCTATGGTCCTGTATTTGGTCACACAGGGTAAGGGGGTGGCCTGGTGTCTTTCAGTATTGATTTCTCCTGGTCATTTGCTGGCAAGTGTAGGTGGCAGCCAGCTTGTCCGGTCATCTGTTGTTTTTATTATAGCTCAGGATGATTATGGTCCTTTGGTCACATCTTGAAGACACAGCTGTCCACGCTTCACAAAGCTTGTGTTGTGAAGAGTGGACATCGGTATCACGTATCGGCATTTTTGTTTTTGTTTTTTTTTGGATGGGGACAGTATTAAAAGGAGTGGTGATGTTTGTAAAAACAAACTTTGATCAAAGGGGAACGCTGTCCCTCGCCTGCAACATTTCAGGGGCAGCTCAGTTTGACTTTTCATTTTCATTTTTTTAACTGTAGGTTTAAGGGTTAGTTTCCTCCTGAGAAGTTTCTTGTCCAAGGTCATAACCGGTGGCCATTTTCTACGGAAAGGGAGAAAACATTCAGCTACATCCCCCTCTGGCTCTGGGTCAAACATCAGTGGAAGGAGCTGCACCCATTTCTCCCAGAACTTCCCTGATGGGAGCGAGCTTGTCACAGATTATGCTCTGGAGTAGCTATGTGACAACCAACTAATTTCTGCTGTTTTTCATGAGGCCATCTTCATGTGATCACATCGCACAGGTCTGTTTTGCACTCCTCTGCGAAAAATTTGCTCTGCCTTGATAAAAAATTATCGACCTATCACAAATCATTGTTTTTATGAGACATGCAGATGAAGTTGCATCCAATTTGTACGTTGCCGATGAACATGATACATTGCCAAGATTTTTGTTGCCTTATTCTCCAATGGTGGGGACACGCAGGAGAGCCGTCCACCGGTAGAAGACAACCGTTTGTTGCCAGTAAGTGTGTCAACTTAATTGCATCTAAATAATTAAAACTTACTGAATTAATCTCATTAATAAATTAACTACAATTATGATTACTCGCCTTTCACTTTCTTGCGGTGGATCATCTTTATGATTCAGTCCACAATTTAGGAAACTGTGAGGCCTCAAGATCTAGGTTTCATTCTTTTTTTTCTTAGTTTTGGATTAGAAACAAGATGACAGGTTTGTCCACTTTTTGCAGGCTTTAAAAGGTCGTAATTTTCTCAATTCTTAACATATTGACATCATTTTAAAACTGTTTTGTTCCTTTTTTTCCAGCTCTTTCCGGTGACGTTTATTAGGGAGGGGCCAGCCAGGCAGCCTCCTCAGCCAGGGTGCTCTGCACCTCACACCTGAGACTCACCAGCTCGTCACCCACCTGTAGCCCCTCAGCTTGTTTGGGCTGGTATAAGTTGACTCCCAAACCAGTCCTCAGTGCAAGTTCATGCCGTCACCACCTGTAGTGAGCTATGTTGGCATCTCCTGATGTTTTCGGTTCCTGTACAGCCGTTTCCCTGTGGATTCCTCGTGTTTCTTCCTGAACTCTTAGTAAGTCCCAGTATTTTTTTTCCCTGAGTTGATTTTGCAAAGACTCTAATAAACAACGCAACGGCAACTTTTGGCTAACACCAGACTTGCCTGTTGTTGTGCAATTGGGGTCACATACAAACCCTAACAACGTTGGTCTTGCTGGAAAAAAAAAAAGAATCATTTTATTGTCACATACCTATCTCGTGTCTCTGATATCAAATCTGAGTACTCCTGATATTATTTGAAAGGTCTGAAGTGACATTGTTGCCTGGAAAACATTGCTGCCCGTCGACGTATTCCAGAGACTATCAGTTATCTAATTGCTGGATCTGGATCTGTCCACTCCAGTAGGCATCCAGGCATTCCACATCAGTTTCATTCCAAATGTTGCAGTGGACTTTTTCCCTTCTGGGTTTGGCATAGTATTGACTTTTTTTTTTTGGTGGCAGTGATCACTTCTACAACATTCCTAGAAAATCACAATGCCCCATCACGAGTGAGCTATTGTCAGAAAAGGCCCACGGGCACCATTTTGGTGACCTCTAGTCCAGATACAACATCGTGGTTTTAATCCATTCCGGGAAGCTTGTGAGGGCTTCAGAATTTATCGCCCACACATAATGCACTCCCATATCCGTAAGGCTCTATCACTCCATCCAGGATGAGCCTTGACAGGCAAAAGCACCAGGCAGATTCTAAGTGACGTTTGCTGAGCAGATGTACCTGCCTTAAGTGACAAATGAATAGAATGAGTTTCCTGTGATGCACCTTATGAGTAATGCATCGGAATGTTGTGGTTAGACAACCAGGACATCTGAGGCTAGAGCCCTAAATAATATGACTTGCCCTGAAATGTGTGTGTGTGTGTGTGTGTGTGTGTGTGTGTGTGTGTGTGTGTGTGTGTGGCAATGACAAGAATGATCAGTTTGACACTGCAGTAGTAGAGAAGTATTGATTTGAGTGTGGATGCCTTTTGCAGTGATGTAGTGCTGATATTGTGATTGATTGATTGAACTAGATGAGAGGGAAAGAATATTACACCTTCCAACCAAACCCAACTTTATTTGACTGAAGGTACAATTATATGATACACCTGTTGCATTAGTTCAATTGTGCAGAAACTGTTAAATGTGTATTGAATTGAGTTTTTTTTTTCTCCATTGAATATGTGTGTTTAAGAAGATCAACCCAAGCGCAGCAGAAAGAGATGGGAGGGTATATAATTGAAGTACCGTAAGATGTAATTAGCAATGAGGAAGGTTGAATGATGTTGCTTCGAGTATTGGCCAGTTGCTGCTATTCCTAAGCATTGCACTCTACCCATATCGAATAATTCATTTTAATCTGAATTCAGCTCCAAGTAAATGTAATATTGTCTTAAATTGATGTAATGTGGGCGGCACGGTGATCAACTGTTTGGCACGTCCGCCTTACAGTATGCTCGTGGGTTTGAATCTGGCCTCGTCCTTCACACTGTGAGTGTGAATAGTTTTTGTTTTCGTGTGCCCTGCAATTGGCTGGCGACTGGTTCAGGGTGTACCTCGCCTAGTGCCCGAAGACAGCTGGGTTAGGCTCCAGCAGGCCCGCGACCCTCGTGAGGATAAGTGACTCGGATAATGGATGAATGTTGTGTGATAGGTGCAATTAAAAACTGGTTATGTTCATGCATAAATTAAAGTGGTTCATTAAACCTGTTAATGACTAGGTCCAAAGTGAGCAGAGGAAATGACAGTAGACAGTGACGTTTGGAAGGAACACGCAGGACACATTTAGATAACTTTATGAGCTCTATTTTCATGACTGGCGTGAGTCTGGTGCAGTGCAAAAATTCAGGCATGATTATGAAAAGTTTTCATGACTGGCGTGAGTCTGGTGTGGCGTGGTGCAGTGCAAAAATTCAGGCATGATTATGAAAACCATGACTGTCTGAAGAATGTATAGAGAGGACAGCGCTGATAGTGGAGGCTGTTCTGCATGATTTCAGTCAGGATTTTTTTTTCTTTCTACTCATTTAATTTTATTTATTTTTTGCTCTATTCACTTGCGCTAGTAAGATACTGTCATGATTTCAGTCAGGATTTTTTTTCTTTCTACTCATTTACTTTTTTTTTTGCTCTATTCACTTGCGCTAGTAAGATACTGTTATGCAACGTTAGAATGGTCTTAACGTGTCCTTGTGCTGCTTGTTACGTATTTTTCATCCTGACAGGCAGGTCTGCATTTAGCTATCTTTAAATTCATGCATTGCATCACAGCTAGAGTCTTTGAAATGGTGCACATCTAACATTTTACGTGATAACAAAACTGAGATCGGGCCCACATTTCCTAAAATAAAGAAATGTGAATTGGGTTGTTATAAGATTTTGCTTTGAGCATTTCTTATAAGAATGTTAGGTTTACTAAACCAAAATGATTAACACTCTCCCTTTAAAAAATTGACATTCATTCATGGGTTTCCTCATAACAGTGTTGCACATTAAGCAAGACGACAAATTAACTGTCAACTAAATTTAGCAATGTCTGGTCCATTTCACTCAAAATCAAACTAATCACATTCTTTTTCTAACAAGGCTGAGCGAACAATTCCCTCACAGTCTCTTGACTTGGAATTTCCTTCAATATAATTTTATTATTTTTTTTTTTTTGCTACAACGTTATCTAATAATGGATATTTATTTGATCAGTAAGAGAGCTTGTGTGTTTGTCTGACCAATAAGTGGCCAGGAAACAAAAGCCTATTCAATCTCTATGGTGTGTCACAATTATACTGTTTATTTGGGCCCACACATAAAAGCTCATCTCTGTGTGTTCAGGATTTTAGTTGTGTGTTTACTCTCATCATCGGTTCATCATCATTTGTGACTCACCGACGCCATAATGCCAGGACAATGCCGCCAGGGAGATTATTGTCAATTTGACAGTTGGGAATTGCAGGCAAGCAGCCAGACAGAGTAAACAATCAAAATTTTGTGGTGCAACACTTACACCTGCCGGTAGATGGTTGAATTGCATCCTCAAAACGATCCCTTGAAGTGTGTTTTCAAAGGATTACTAGACTGCCCACGCACACCTCCGATTTCCTCTTGAAAATATGTCAACTTCCAAAAGCAACAATATGTCCGAAAAGATGACTTCTACAGAATTGAAGCAGCTATTTTAACTCACTCAATCACAGCACCAATGGGCTGTGGAAAGACAGGAGAAGCTTTTCCATGTCCCCCGATGTGGTTTATTCCGAAACAATTTCAAAATATTTACTGACTTATGTCTTGCAATAGTCATTTTCCTCTTCTGAAGCTGTGTTTCCCAACTTTTACTGAACCAAGCACCTCTTTTACATGAGAAAAAGGTCACAGCACTCCACCTCAGAAAAATTCAACAAAAAGTGGCCTGTATTTTGTATGTTGAAATAATAATGTCTCAATTTACCAACAAATTTACTTATTTGGAACTATTTAGTTGAAAAATTTATTGTGTTCACTTATGGCAACAAGTGGATAAACAGGTAAAATACGACCAGAGTGTGCGTGTGCGCGTGCGCGAATATAAAGGTCTTTGAATAGCTATGGTATGATGTGGAGACACACACACACACGCACCCTTGTGAGGATAGGTGGATTAGAAAATGGATTGATGGAAGACAGATCTCAATCAGTCAATCAACCAATAAAAATCTAATAGTCTTTACCTCTCTTTTGCTTTACTATGCGACGGAGAAGCAACTGTCGCATTTAACTTCCATCTACTGTAATGCATCCCAATTCCCCTATTTGCTGGTCGAATGCTTTTAGTTTGAGAAATGTTATGTTGGTATAAATGGGTTTTGAAAAATAAAATTGGAAAGATTGAGGCAGGAAGCCGCCATGTTGTCAGTTTGAAAAAAGTAACGAGACTTCTTTTGTGCAGAGGTCGCGGGTTCGATCCCGGCTCCGGCCTTGCTGTGTGGAGTTTGCATTTTCTCCCTGGGTCTGCGTAGGTTTTATCCCGGGTACTTTATCCTTCGGTGTGAGTGTGAGCGCGGATGGTTGTTCGTCTCTGTGTGCCTTGCGATTGGCTGGCAACCGGTTCAGGGTGTCCCCCCGCCTACTGCCCCAAGACGGCTGGGATAGGCTGCAGCACCCCTTGCGACCCTTGTGAGGATAAAGCGGATCGGAAAATGGATGGATGGATGGATGCATGGATGGACTTCTTTTGTGAAAGTATAAGTCGTAGTTCAAATATTGTGAGTCAAAGTAAAAAAATTGTCAGAAAAATAGATACTGAAGTAAAATGCAGATATCTAAACAATCTTCTCGAGTACAGTACAGAAGCATTTGTACTTCATTATATGACTAGATTTTAGATCTTTATTTCCCACCACTGGTGTGGAATAACCTAAAGATGTCAAAGTGGCTCCTGCATTTATTAACAAACTTATCAACCCCATAAATGAATATCAATTCCTCTAATGCTGTCAGCTTCAACCATATCTTCTCTCTTTCAGAGCTAGTCTGACTGTCGTGTCCTTTTCTTCCTTGTTTCTCACACACAGTCTTGAGGCCAGCCACATCTAATCTATGACTGGCTACATCAACACCTGCACTACATGAAGCCCCCCGCGGTCTCGCTCTAGTACATTTTCTCTCTGGGGCAATTGGATTCTCAATCAAAGCAGAAGGTTCTGGCGACAGCTCTTTGACGTTGCTTTTGAAGTGAAGACGACTGCTGCTGTCTTTCGGAAAAAGAAAAAAACATTTAAAGGACATTAGGCGGCTTGGATCTTACTTCAAATGGAAACTCATTGAGGGTGCAAAAGGGTCTGACTGTGCAGCAGTTTTAACAATTTGCTGTTGCTGAGTGTCTGGTTCTATTTAAGGGGGACAGACAGTGAAAGGCTGTGAAGCAACAAGGATCCCCCTGTAAACACAAAATGTGCTCGAGGCAACTGGTGGGGGGATGGTGTGAGCTGAGTTTGCTGTTTGACATTCAAGTGTCAAATGTGACAAATATGGGAGATTAAATCTGGGGCTGAATGTAAGAACAGAGTTTGGGGGGAGGTACATATTTCCTCACAACTGAAATTGTTTTGGTCTGAGCTGATTTACTATGTGAGGAAATAATCTTTGAGGAGATGGCAAGAACCGGTCCAACAAAACTAGAGTGGGTAATAACAGAGCCGTGTGCGGCCGGGTTGATGAGCTTTATAAAGTCGAGTGTTTTTTTTTTTTTTTTTCACGGCCCCTTCCGGGAGGACTGCTGTCAGCTTCAACCATATCTTCTCTCTTTCAGAGCTAGTCTGACTGTCGTGTCCTTTTCTTCCTTGTTTCTCACACACAGTCTTGAGGCCAGCCACATCTAATCTATGACTGGCTATATCAACACCTGCACTACATGAAGCCCCCCGCGGTCTCGCTCTAGTACATTTTCTCTCTGGGGCAATTGGATTCTCAATCAAAGCAGAAGGTTCTGGCGACAGCTCTTTGACGTTGCTTTTGAAGTGAAGACGACTGCTGCTGTCTTTCGGAAA